TATTTTATAGTATTAAAAACAAGTTATTATCTTATTTTAGATGTCATCATTTGTACTATTATATTTAATATTAATTATATTTTTTTTATGTGTTCCGCCTCTTTTACAACATTTTTGAATAGATATGTTATAACTACATCCATTAATATTATAGGTGTTCATAGTTCATCGAAGGAGCAATTCTCGTATGATCACAGAAATGAATTGGTAAGTGGAGGTTCGGATTCGAATAAGTGACCCCGTGGGTGCAGCATAAAATTAATTCTTGAATTCATAAAATAAATTTTTTTTTATTATAATTTTGTCGTGTATTCTCTGAAATGTGACGCTAATAAATAATACTTATTTTCACAATAAAATTTCAATGAAACTTTCTCCAATATTTACTATTACGCTATTGACATTATTTGTCGAATTTACTTATTGCATTAGTGACACTAGTAGTATATTTTTATGCTGACTAGATCAATTCAAGAATCGACGTCAATTCGATGTCGATTTCATTATCATTTCTAACTGGGTTATTGCCTACAACACAGTATAAGTACATATAGTATGGACACTGAATTTTTTATGTGATCTCCAATTTTTAATGCACATGCGTCAATTTCCAACCAGGAATATGGTTGTCTTCAATAAGTTGAAATTGCATGGTGGTTAGTTGGATATCTCCTTCTCTAAAATATAATTAATCCTTTCGCTTATCGTATGAGACTCGTGGTAAGGAAATCGGGCCAAACATGAGTATCACGGGTGAGAACCGTAATACGTCATTCGTACAAAGCTTAATTTTTTTTTAATTTGTAAAAGAAATGTAGGGCAAAGGGTTAATAAAATTAAGTTTTACTAAAAAATTAAATCAAATTTTTTTGGAGATGCTATATTGTGTAGACTGTTATATTTGTATACGATAAAGTATTTTTGTAATAAAGTATGCATTTGTGTTTGTGTGTTTATGTGTGTGTGCGCGCGCGCGCGAATGGGAAAATATAAAATAGTATTTAATGGCAAATAAAATATATGTAGGCAATAGAGTTGGCAATAGGCAATAATATATATAGGTAAACGTGATATTTTGTCTAACTCCGTTTTCTAAAATTTGTATTTATGTGCAAAAGTGCTTATAGGCGATTGAGCAATAGGCAATAATATATCTAGGTAAACGTGATATTTTGTCTCTGAAAATTTTATTTGTGCACAAAAGTGCTTACATTATAGGCAATCAAGCTATAGGTAATAATTTTTGTGTCGGCAAAAATGTTATAGGCAATGATACTATAGGCAATCGATTTGTTAACAAAAGGAGTCACCTCAAATATTAGACATAGATTAATTTATCATGGATTGTCCACGTTTAATTATTATCAATCTTCTGAAATAATTCTATAACACGATTATACATTAGAGTTTTAACATCAATGGCAATTAAAAAATCTGCATGAGAAAATAATTTATATGCAATTTCTTCTAGCAGGATAACATTTGGCAAGCACTTATATGTCTCCAATACATTCTGGAAATATGGAAAATGATAAAATTAACGACAATAATGAAAGCAATTATTTTTTAAAACAATTATTTATTATAACCAATAATAATCAAGACCACTATATGAATAATAAGGAAAATATGGTCGAAGCTAAATACCTAATAATATTTTTATATAAACATTCTATATCTTTAATATAACTCATAATAAAAGCTAGATAACTCATAATAATCTTTCAATTACATAAACTGTACGCCACTTACGGACTGGAAACATAATATAAACATAATATAAATATAATATAAACTAAAGTTTAAATAATAATATGAAATATCATTATGAATTATGAATCGATTTAATGAAATAATCAATCAATTATTTCTTGAATTTCTTCTATTTTTATTTAGATAGATAATAACATTATATAATTATATAGGCTGAAAAAATGAGAGAGATCGAAGTGAGAAAAAAAAGAAGAAAAAAGAAGGAATTATGAAATGAATAATAGGAAGAAAAAATAAAGGAAAATTCCGTGTAATATTACGAAATTATGCAACTCTATTTAAAAATTCAAAGTAATGTTAAATTATTTATAAAGAAAGAATATTTTCAATTTTTCATTCAATTGTAGCTTGTATGAAACTGATCAAATTCTTGTTATAAATGTATTATATACTTGTGTGTAATATACCGAATTCGGTAAAATAAGTGATATGACTTATTTGCAGTAAAAAATAGATTGCAAGAACTTATTAAAAATATTATATAAGAAATAGATCACAAGAAATTATTTAAAATATAAAATAAGAAATACACTGTCGGAAAAAAAATTTTTAAAGAGATTCAAAAAATCTACATGAACTAAAGCAAGGCTTAGAAATTCTTAATTTTTCGCAGGTATTCATAGTGAAACGTAGAGTGAGGTTTATGTCTTAGAAATTCTTATGCGTCGTTTGCAGTAGCGATAGAGGCTGCAGACACATAGGGAGTAAGTTGATTTTTCGGCTCAGTCAGAATTGATCGATCAACATCAAATCGATGTTAATTCAACGTCGATCGAATTAGTTCGATAATTCGATTAATCACACTAGCTGGATATGTAATAGGTCGTAGAGTAAGTCTGTAAGCGAAATAGATTTCAACTAGAATCCTAGATATAACAGAGAAGCGCAACCGCTGTCTCTATTTCTGATTAGTTTATGGCCATTTTTTCTATGGGTAGTCTTTTAGAATTCTAATTTCGGTAAATAAATATCATTTTTAAATCTTGATATGTATAGTAGTCTTCAAAGAGAATCAGTATTTCTTTGTAGTCAGTAGAAATACTACTGTTACAGGAATCGCTCCATTTGCGGAATTACAGATGTAAACGCAGGTCGCCATTTTTTCTTCAGGCGATTAATTATAATCTTTAAATATGCTCGGTTGCGCTTCTCTGTTATATCTAGGATTCTAATTTCAATCATTCGCTTGCGGACTTTATGTCCTATTACATCTCCAGTTACAAATGATTGATCGATCAATATCTAATTAACATCGATCGACGTTGAATTAATCCAAGAGTACGCCTCTTTTTTTTAAATGATCACCTGGAATGTTTTCTACACCCAATTAAAAGTTATTGTTATTAAAGATATATTTGTTCTATATATATTATTCTATATATATTACTATTCTAGATATATTTGTTCTATATAGTGATTGTTCTATAATTTATTATTATCTAATGACATTATGTAAGAACACTAAACCAATATTTTTTGAAAAAATTAAAAAAAAACCAAGAAAATATTAAATAAATAGAAAAAAACATTAAGTAGTTTATTGTAATAGTGTTTATAAAAAATGAAGATATTAATGAAAC